TAAGGATAAGATTCAAAATCTTGCAAATCTTAAAAGAAAGGCAAACCAGCTTTCCCTAATCTTAATCTGTACAGCAGACATGTTGTGAATTTTAAAAATATTTGAATTAAAACTACAAATATATTTATTAGGAATGATTCCAAAAGGTATACATGAAAAATATCACAACCTATAGAAATATATGCTGACAATGGCAAGAATCAATTCCGCATAACACTGGAAAAGAGAAAATGTGAGACCAAAATTGCAAAATATGTAGCAGTTGACAGTAAAAGGTTTTTGAGTTAAGTTGCTATTTCAACTTGTGATATTCTTAGTACAAAACCATATAGTGCTTCAAACAATTCCTTCATACTGAATTAGGCTTGTTTTGCAAATTGCTGCACAAATATTACATGCTTCTTACTGGAAAGATTGTCTGATCTTCATATTGGAAGAATAACTAAGTTGAGGAAGTATGCTTCAATATTTAGAATCTTAAAAGTAAACCTGATATAGAATTCAATTCAAATTGGAAACCATTCCTCAACAATGCACCACAACCTGACTTTTCCCCCAGGTGTTTGGGTCCAGTTGAGGGAAGTGAGGGGCACATGACATGGATTTTGTAACTTGTTAAATACTTTGTATTTTAATTTAACTTATTTTTCTCTCTTATAAAATGGTATATTCAATTATTCAACAAATATGCTAGAAAATTATATTTTAATTCCTTATTTTTTTTCTTTTTTCTTTGTTTATATATCATCTTTAATATATCTAATAAGAAAAAGAATTGAAACTTTTATTTCACTAAAACCCTGATACACGATATTTTAAGGTGCTGTAGCAAATGAAAAAAAGACCTACAATAAAAATACTGATTAAAAGCTAAAATAAAAACACACCAAAGTAACTGTTAAAAATAATTTATAAGCAAAAGTATTCCAGTGTCACATGAACTGTATAGCAAAACACTGTTATTTTTCTCTAAAATGGGAAAAGTTGCAAACTGATTTGTGTACTTTCTGAGAAGCTGTAAATGTAGATGTGTTGCAAAAGGAATGGAAACTGAGGCATGACGTTAGTGACACAGTAGTGGGACTGTATAGAATATATCTGCACTTACAATTTTGTGTAAAATATTACTGTAGTCCTCTTTTAGGTTTTCTAAAGTTTTCTATATCAAAGATACTCACAAAAATCAAAAGGGGGATTTTCATAGAGCTCTGTGTGCTGCTTCTTGATTTTCTGAGTCATGCTTTTATTACTTTCTTCAGACAATTAGTGACTGGCCAAGTATACCATTAAAAGATAGCTGGAGGGCTTCCGGTTTGCCATTGTGGTGCAGGCGGATGCATGGAGGCGAGCTCCGTCTTCAGCATCCGGTTTTATCCTGCTGGGAGCCCTGGAAAGATTCAAAAGTCGCCCTGTAGGGGCGACGAGCAAGGAGAGGACCCCCGCTTGATCATAGAAGGGCGGCAGCCCTTCCACTTGATCCGGGGCAGCTCTCCAAACCGACAGGGAAAAGACCGGCCATAGCAATACAGCTCGTCATTAAGCTGCTGACAGCCGAAGTCAAAACTACAACCAAGCACCTTTAAAGCAAGGCGGATGAAACTGGGTGAGATCTTATTTTCTCTTTAAGACTTTAAATATTTTTCCTGCAGAATCTGCCCAAAGTATTTCTCCCCCTGTGAGGAGAGAGAGAAGGGAATTCTTACCCCACCCTCTAAGAACAGCGGCGATTGACTACCTAGGGAAAAAGAGCAATTATAAGAACAATTCTAATTTAATTGGATGCACATACCTTTGAAGTTTGGAAACTAAAAGTTTTCCTATTCTTACTGGAGATATTGGCTTTTAATTAAAAAGAAAAATTGAAAAACTATTATTAAAACTCGGGACTTAAAAAGATTTAAACTGCATTGGTGACATCTTGTGGTGAAATATGCTATTACAATTTGTTATTGACTAAAAGAGACTTGGCTGGAAGCCCAGAAATTAGAAAAAAAACCCTCTTGACCTTGACATACCACTTGTGAGAAACATAACTGTAAAGAAGGAACTGCAAGGCAGTTTATCTGGCCTGTTTGAACTATGAAGATAAACCTTTACTGACTTTCAGAATTATATGTGGGAAACTGTTTTCCTATTTCTTTACATGAGAAGTGTTTGTTACTACACGAGATGATGGAATACTTTGGACTATAAATTCTTACATGCCAAACAATTTTCACTATAAGACTATCCGCAACACATGAAATAGATGTCACACATCTAGCTACAAAAACTGTTTTTAACATTTGATTTTAAAATCCTTAATTTAATACATTATCAAGAGAATATGGATGAAGATCAGGAAAAAAATCCTTTCTATGTTGAAATCAATACATGAAACCATTCTTTCAGCATGTAACAAAACAAGGGGCAACATAAAGGAACAAGATACCAGCTTAAATATACACACCCAGATTTTGACTACAACCAAAGACCCAACAATGCAGAAAGCAACAGGAGAAATGGAACAACTAAATATTAAGACAGAGGACCCAGCTGACCAACAGATCCAGCCAACAGATCCAGCCAACAAAAGAGAGTGACAACATTGAAAATGGAAAGGTTTTTTTTTCATAAATCAGAAGAAACTTGAGGAAAAGGAAGAACAGACTGAATGGAAGATAAACTTATTAGGACAACTGTGGAAAACTGGAATAATGGGGAGGTGATCAAAGAAATATAAAGGGGCTAGTTCTTCCAAAAAACTTGTAATAATATCAAATAATATACACAATAATAGAGGGAGAACTGTTTGATGAATTAAAAGTACTGACATGGATAGTTAATTGGCAAAGGAAAAAAGCCAGAGTAAGGCTGAAAGAAACTAGGGTTTTGATTTATTAGGGGGGATTTTATACTATTGATTAGAAGGTTAAAGATGGTCGAATATAGATAATTTTTTAGAAAATAAAGTAATATTATAACTGAATAGGTAAGATGTGTAATAAGGTTAATAGATTTTTGGTTTAATATGGTGAAAAAAAGAGAATTTTTAAAAAATAGAATAAGATTATATGCAAATAGATAAGATGTATATTTAGAATATTAGATTTTGTTATAAAAAGGGGGAAATGTAGAAGTTGAGATAAGGGAAACTCTAGTTACCTAAATCTTAGAAACTATAACATACCAAATGTTAAGTTGAATATTGAGGGGAAATTAAAGCCTGGGGAAAAAGCTACAACAGGACATTGATGTATATAAGATTGAATGTAAACACAATTAAGATATGTACAAGTTAAAAATTATTGATAAATGTAACAAAGATGGTTTTACTTAGTTGATAACAATAAAAATTATATTAATTCAATATGAGATGGTAGATATTAAGGGATAAAGAGAGGAAATATCTGATGTTGTAATTTGAGATTTGTGTTAAAAAATTATGTATTTTTTGGAATCATTGATTACCCAGTCGCCACATTGCTTTTTAAATGTTTAATTGTAAAATTAGAAAATCAATAAAATATTATAAAAAAAGGTAGCTGGACAGGCTACAGCTTGTTCAAATCATGATATGGCCACAAACCAATCTTGTTCAAACCATAGTATCTGATCCTAGTTTGTAGCTAACCAAATTTCTGCAAAGCAGTGTATCCAGTTTGAATGTTAGAGCTGTGGTCATTTGTAATGAATTAAACCAGGAAAAGAAGCAAAGGGATTGGAAACAAAAAAAAAAAGCCAGCAGTCCTTTGCATGGCACCACAATATCTGTGCCTTTCTAAAATATATTTTCTATATATGAAAGAGTGCAATTACAGACCCCAAATGAGTTTTCCGATTTCTAGAAGGCAGAATGTACCAAGGCTGATCACATTTAAACACAAAAAGAGATCACTCCAGCTCACAATCCCTCTGAGCCACACTTGGAGAGCCCCCAAATTAATTAATAAAATTATTTTTGTCATTAAAATTCAATTAAGGAATCTTCTCCCATAATAATAATAACTTTCTTTTTTCTTATTACTACCATTTTGTTCTTCTGTCTAGCATTTGCATCTAATATGCTTACTTTGAGGACAAGCAGCTGCTCCTGTAGGTGAAAAGAGATTAGAACTGTCTTTTCGGATAAAATCTAATGCTCTGGATTAAGAAGATGATGCTAATTTAAAAGCCTTAATGGGGTGGTGCAACAGAATTAAACTTCAGAGATGCACAAAATAAGCTTTTAAAGGTATGACAAATTTACACTATCAAACTCTAGAATTAGTATTAGAAATATAGCTTGTTTAATCTCCTGAAGTTTATCTGAAGAGGCCAAACTGTTTCCATTTCTATAAGCAAAATTAAAGTTAACCGTTTTTCCAGATTTGTGTTTTATTTAACATACTCCAATGCTAATACTTAGCACACTTGTCATGTAATAAGTGTCAATGACTGCAGTGACTACTTCAACAGGTTTTGTGTAGGAAAGAACTGGGAGAGCTATAGATGCCATCTTCAGCTTGCAGAGAAAGGACAGGGTATAAATCTAATAAATACAAATATATAATCCCGTTTTCTCATCAAAATGATCTTTGCTGGAACAATTTTTGGACCATCAGTCTTTTTACAAAGTGTAACATCAAAGAACCAGTGCAGACCTTCAGAACAAAAACTTTTGTAACAAAAACAAAAACATTGTAACAACATTGTTACTGTGGTTGGTGTGGGCTTGTCACCCAACTAAGGAAAATTTAATTAATTTTGTGAGCTTTAATTCCTCTAGTTCAATTAAATCTATAACATTTCAATATGAAAAGAGAGCTCTTAAGAAAAACAGCATCATTTTGTTTTGTTTTTACGATTTTGTTTTTTTATAAGATCAAATATATTTGCAGCTATTGTAGAAGAAGTATTTCATTCTGAGAAAAATGAAAGCCTGTTTAAACACAATGCATGATGGTTGCTTTTTGATGTGTTGTTAATTACTTCCAAATAATTCTTTAGTAAAACGAGAAATAAAATTGTTTTCATCTTACCATTAATATCTGCAAATTTCTGAACATCAGCCAGAGTTTTCAACTCACTACGTGGGCATGCTGATACACAGAGAGCAATGGACTTGATCTTCCGATGTACTAAATCTACATTGCATGGCTCCAGAAAAAATACAAACCTTAAGGAAAAAATACACATACATGTTAATTTAGATAGAGCCTAAAATAGAATTTTCAAGCAATAAAAATTAAATCTACTAGTAAATAAACTTTATCTCTGTAGAAGTAAAGGCACTATATAATATAGCATTTATGTAGTTATGCACTTCCAATTAAGATTAAAATTGTTCCTCTCTGTAATGATGATGGATGCTAAGTATCTATATTTAGTATTAGGGAATCACCACAAAGAAAACCATTAAAATTCATGGGACATCTGCCCAGATACAACATGCCTTTCTGAGTGGTCAGCATTTTTTTCTAATTACATCTGACTAACTGCACTATTCCTAAAATGCATTTCTAGGTAATGAACCACAAAGTTTGATGCCTATGTACAATCTTAAGTTGGCTATATTTTTGCTAACCACGCTGTATTTTCCTTTGAATGGACTCAATAAGAGTTAAATTCAGGGAACAAGTAATCAAGCATTGAAAAAAAGTCTGCTAGAATATGTGATTTATTTTATCTTATCCAGAAAAATAGCAATATTATTCACTGTTACAAAATAGTCCCAACATATTAACATCTGGACGCGTCACCATTTCCACTTTTGAACATAATGCAATTTCACATCAAAGCCTGCAGAATAATCATACTATATATTGCCATCCCGCCTTGATTTACCAACTTTAACAAAGGTCCTGACCATCAAGTTACATCACTATCATGTACTCTGAGGCAGTTAAGGAGCAACAATCTTTAAATGTAATCTTCACAACAAAAAATATTGCTTATCTTCGTTCATAGGTTTTGAGAAACTAAGAGCCTACTATATTCTGAATGTGACCTTTAAATTCATATTATATATGAATTTATATACTGGATGATGTCATTCGCATCCCACTCATGCCAGAAGCATTGAGGTGTTTCCAGGTTGAAAGGATTGGGCAGTGATATCACCACTGCCCAGGGAATGGCCAGTTGGGGCTTCCTTTCATTTCCCCGGCAGGAGCTGGAGCGAAGGGCAGGAGCTCACACCACCCCATGGCAGCACTTGGGTCTCGAACGTGGGCTTGCTGCTTCTTAACCCAGCATCCTACCCACACGAGCCACTGTGGTCCTTTCCAGTGAACATTACCTCTATAAAGTTATAAGAATATCAGGTTATGAATCATCATTCAAAGGCAAGGGCTTACTATGGAAGTCAAAAGTTAGAAACTTCAAATGTGAATTAACTGAAATGTCTCACACATTTATTTTTCCTATTTTAAAGGTATAATGAATAGTAAGGGTAAAGCCTCCACTCAGTAGGGATGCAAAATTAATAATCAGTAATTTTAAGCAGATTGGTTCCCACTCCTAAACTCCATATCCTTTCCTATGATTAACCTTGTCCTTAGGACCCTAGATGAAGCAGCAAATATTATATTAGACTTTACGATCCCTCTTTTTGTTACAGTTGTTAATCAAACCACTGCAGTTGTTAAGTGAATCAAGTGGCCGTTAAGCAAATCAATCCCCTCATTGACTTTTTTGTTGTTGGCTGGAAAGATCGCATGACCCCAGAAGGCCACAACTATTGTAAATACATGCCAATTGCCAAGTGCCCAGATTATGATCACACAACCATAGGGGTGCCGCAAGGACTAAATCACTTTTTTCAGAGTCGTTTTAATGTCGAACGGTTGTTAAACAATACTATCTGTATTGTGCACAGTTTATTATATACAGTGAGGCTTTGGGGTTTGCAGACATGCTGGACACACAACTGAAAAGACCTCTTTCTTGTTTTTGTCTGGAAGCGGAATTCTGTGAAGCATTCCTGACAAAAGTCTTAAAAGCCAAGAATATTTCTTTGGAAGCCATTTTGATGAATGGTTTGGGATAAGGTAACAGTAGTAGAAAAGTACTTATTTAGCTGTGATCAGCACCATGAAGTAGTCCTCTAAGATGAAATAGAGTTCCCAAACTGCTCACCTTAGAAACTTTTCGCCTGGCAATTTTGCTATCCTCAACACATCTAGAAACCAAAAAAAACCCCAAGTGATCTCAATGAAGAAACGAGGGCTCTGAGGGTCAGTGATATCAGGCCTGCATTTTTCTTGTTGTTTCAGAATGTAGTATGTTATATTGATTTATGCTATATACTGTACATAGAAAGCACATGAAATAATCACAATATGGTATGTTAGTTATTTTTCCCACCCATTATTAATATTACTACTGCCATTAATGCCTGAACTATTATTCCTTCATCCATCCATCAACCTTCTTTGCGTGTTCTTTTGACCTACTTTTTAAATAAGGAAGATATTTAAGCAAGTAGAAGTAGCAAGAATGTTGCATAAAATGTCTTAACGCTGGATTTTTTTTCATTTTCAGAAAATTAAATTTGAGCAAAATCAAACATATTGGAACACGTACTTCTAAAAATGTAGATTTTACACTACAGTAGGATCCACTGGAAAGGGAAATTATCCCAATGAAGACATTAAAAGCACAAACACAAACAATTCCCACGAGGAGGAAAAAATGGACAGCTGAAAAAAGTTAGTATGACTGCACAAGAAGTCAATACGGTTGCACAGGAAGTTTTGTGAAGATCAAAAAAGAAAAAAAGACGCATCCAGGAAAGGTAAAAAGAGGCCAGGTCAGAAAAGAGTACAAACTCTAGAGCAGGGCTTTTCAACCAGTGGTACGGGTACCACCTGTGGTACATTGGCACCTGGCAGGTGGTATGCACCATCCTAAAAAGTGGTAGGGGAACCGGTGGCAGCACCGCACAAGCCTGAGCGAGAGACGGCTGGAGCTGCAGGGCTGTCAGGGCTCAGCGGAAGCGCCAGGATCAGCGCCAGGCTCCAGCTGGAGCTCGGCGCTGATCCTGGTGCTTCTGCTGAGCCCTGAAGAAGCACCAATCAGCTGGAAAGCAGCACTGATCCTGAAGCTTCTGCTGAGCCCTGAAGAAGCTCCGATCAGCTGGAATGTTGCAGCATCTCCAGGGTGTTGTGATTTACATTCAGATGCTTGGCAACTGATTCATATTTATGACGGTCACAGTGTCCCAGGGTCATGTGAAGTGACCCAAACCTGCTGCAACCACCCAGCAGACGGGGGGAAATAAAAACAAAACACACCCCACCCCCGCTGCCAATCGTCAACAGAAATGTTCACAACAATGAAAACCTTGGACAGGAGGAAGAACGCCACCGGGCGCTGTCTTGCTCGGCTGTGGCTTGGGGGGCACTTTTTTCAGTGCCATTATAACTTCGAACAGTCACTAAGCGAACTGTTGTAAGTTGAGGACTACCTGTACTTTATCACTTTTTTCCTTTTGGGGGGGGTCATCAGGTTTTCGACACCTTGCTAGGCGACTGGTGGTACTCAGATGTTGCCATATCCTAAAAGTGGTACAATGGGTGAAAAGGTTGAAAAGCCCTGCTCTAGATATGTTTTCAGGAAAACGACTGAATGAGCTAAGCAAAGGATGTTAACAGTAACAAAAAGGCTCCTTTTTGCTGCTTGCAGGGAAGGTTGCCTCAGTATTTCGCACTGAAAGCAGACCCTTGTTGCTCTGCCCCAATGTCTGACCACCAGTGCTCCAAGGATCCAATTTCCTGCCCTTGCTATTTTAAAGTACAATCAACTTTAATAACGCTCTCCTTATCCATGATTTAATTGTGGATGAGCAAGCCAACATTGTATGTCTTATGTATGTGTTACATTAATAGAGAGCTGGTTGACAAAGAGCTGTTTAGGATGACCAGGTCCTTTTTGGGAAAGGCATAAATATGGGAACATCTATGGGGTTGTTGTGAAGGCTCTTCTAGGTATCTCTCTCTGTGTCTAGAAACTAAGATGCCGAAGTTGAAAATATTAAGAAAATGTTGGGCTACAAATATTTTTGAACATGTTTTGGAACTTTCCATATAGGAGCTCTTTTACTTTGATATGAACAAACTACCTCTTCATTTTCTGTCTATAATATAACAAAAATCAGTTTTCTTCTACTATCCTATCCTTCATTAGTAGACATTGCTTCTGCAATCAATGAACCTAGCGCTGGATTAAAATGATAAAGGCCACAGTGTGCCTTCCCGTTCACAGGTGTAAATATAATGCTCACACTTTTGATTTTGATTTTCAGCAGGCGTTCAACAAGCAGAAAAGACAAGGCAGACAAAATCTCAGCCTAAACTAAATGATTTGGCTCCTGTTGATTCATTAAGGCTATTAATGCATCATTAGAACAAGTCACACCCTCCATGCCATTTATTAAGCATTTCACGAAAAGTGAAATTTTGAGACAACAAAATATAGGAATTAATTCATGAGTTTGGATTTCTGTTCCATATGAATTAAATACTTTCCTTGTAACAATAGCTCTTTTGGGTACTTGGTTTAACTACAAAATATATCATTATACGATACAAGCTATTATAACTGCTTGTTCAGTGCCATCTTTTTTACATCCTACAATGCATCTGTCACATTTTGAAGTATAGAAAGTTAGAATTCTATCTTGGTTCATGAATAGTATTGCTGTAATGTAGTGTAATTATTATTACATTTCATTTTTTTTCATTTCCCTGAGATTGCCACAAACATTTCTCCATCTGCTCAGCAGCCAAGATAGCAGATGGTTTTAGCGCAGGTTCACGAATTGTACACATAATTATTTCATACCCCCTTCCTTTCCCCCCCAAATGTTTATTACAAATTTCTGGGTTTTTTAAAGGAATCTTTTACAGCCATACTAGGAAAAAACAAAATTATCTTTGATTTTTTTCAAGAAACAGAAATATATCTAGAGGGGCTTAGGCCAATTTGGTCTATATAACAAGTAGATGAATAGAATGATAAAGACTTAATGTACTTTGAAATACAATAAGCCTCTTTTCCTTCTTCAAGATAAATAAAATCTCTTCTATTCAAACATTGGTAGCATAAGTTATCTATTTAAAAGGTGTGTAACGGACATGAAGTTTTGTACTGTGAATGCAGAACAGTTAA